ACGCGGCAACATAAGGTGGGCTAAAGTGCGTGTAGCTATTTCGAAAAATATTTTTTCAAAACTATCTAAATGTAAGGCTCACGCAGCGGTATAAGGAAAGATTGTGATTAAAATTGTGAAATATAAATATGAGGCGGTACCTCAGTTGTGATTCTTGTTGTGCATTTAATATTGAAAAGAGTTATTGGTTTAACAGATCTTGTTGCTCTTATTTCTTCCTTGTCTTACCAATTTTGTACGTATTTGACTATTTGTGGTTCTCATTCTTTGCTTCCTTCTTATTGTCTTTATGCTTACAATTCTGCCATTAGTTTATGTTGTTAAATTGCTTCGTTATCATTCATTTATCCGTTTTCCATTACTTCCCGTTATAATATCTTCGTTCTGTCTATCATGTCCTAGTAGGTGTCTTGACCTGGCCTCGTCACTACTCTACCAAGGTTAGGCTTGATACTTACTGGGTATCATTGTGGTGTACTCATACTAGCTTCTGCACATCTTTTATGCAGATCCAGGTACGTCTACTCGTGCTGGACATTAGTGATTGATTGGTTAGCTGCTTTCTGGGGACTTCAAGGTATACCTGCTCGGCGTCCGCAGGCCTCAGAGTCACCTTCCGTTATTTTCCCATTATTATTGTTTCCTTTATTAGATAGTGTTGTAGTAGACCTTTTTAGAACATTCTGTAGAGCTTATGACTCAGTTCTACCGGTTTTGGGAATTATGTTGTTGAGGTTCTATATTGTTTTTGGAAGTTAATATGAGTATATATGTTTTACTTTAGTATCTTTATTTGGTTATTTTTGTTAAGTATTATTAAATGTTAGGCTTACCTAGTCTTAGAGACTAGGTGCCATCACAACATCCTAAGGTGGAAAATTGGGGTCGTGACAGCTGCACAACAAAATACCCGACATACTGGAGCACTCCTAAGTGATACTGAGAAAATCCCATTAAACAGGTACAAGAAATTACTCTAAGAAGTGGGAAAGCATTGGAGGGGGTGCCACCTAAAAGGTATGTGCCTAAAGAAGTTTTTGAATGATTGGTATCTCAACCGAAGGTAGAAGCTAAAACAAAATATGATGAACACATGCAGGAGACAGAGGTAAGGCCACCACCACATTTTCCTCGAAGGTTGCAAATATAGAAAGATAATTCCAAGTACAAAAAGCTCTTAGATATCATGAGACAGGTGTGTGTGAATCTACCTTTGGTAGAAGTGATGCAAGAAGTACTTGAGAGACATTGTGGCCAATAAAAGAAGGTTGACAGAGTTTGAAATGATTGCCCTTACTGAGGAGAGTAGTGCTAGAGTACAGAGTAAGTTCCCGCCTATGTTGAAGTATCTAGGTTGTCACAATTCCCTTGGCGATTGGAAAATACGAGGTTGGTAAAGTCTTGTGCGATCTGGGAGAGAGAATTAATTTGATGCCACTGTCAATGTTCAAACAACTCAAAGTAGGGGAACCTAGGCCTACTACTATAACTCTACGGATAGTAGATCGATCATTAGCAGTGCTAGAAAGGATTATTAAAGATGTGCGTGTACGAGTTGGGAAGTCTATCTTTCCCGTAAACGTCATTATACTTGACTACATGGCCGATGAAGAAGTACCTATTATTTTGGGGAAACCATTCCTGGCTACTGGTAGAGCAATTATAGATGTGAGGGAAGGAAAGCTAAAGATGAGAGTACATGATAAGGAAGTCACTTTTAATGTGTACAAGGCACTTAAACTTCCCAAGCATTATGAGGATTTGTGGATGATCTCGGTAGCAGAATTGAAGTTGATAGAGCAAGGGCTTTTTGTGGAGCCTAGTAGCATAAAAAAGAAAATCGAGTTAGAAGATGTGGTATTGCAAGCTGAAGGGTCAGAGAGGAAATAGGAGATCCTCCTAGAACGCGCAAGAAGGCAAAACTCCATGGAAAGAGGAGGAAGCGAAAGCGTCTAGTTTGAGCGAGTGGTTCATGTCATGCCGCAACGTTAAGTCAGGCGCTTCGTAGGAGGCAATCCATGGTGATGTTGTAAACGTCAATCCATGACGTTAACTAAGGCGCTTGTTGGGAGACAACACAATTCGTAGTTTAGTTTAGCTTAATTAGATTTTTCTTTTTGTTTTTAGGTACTAACAAGTTTTTAGTTGAATTTTCGTGTTTGAATCGGTACGAGAGCATGTGAGAGTTCACATAAATTCAAGAAGGAGTCCAAAGCTCTAAGTACCACGCACTAGATATGGTGCCACGAGCCTAGTCACGTGTATTACCTCGCACCGCACCTGGCGCCACACAGTCCCTCGTCTGCTGCTTCTCGCACCGCCCTGTCTCCAGTGCGCCCTACCCCTCGCGCTGCCTAGGTAAGTATTCTCTTCTCGCTTTTTTGTTCTTATTTCACCCACACTGATGTGCCGTAGAAATGCGGCACTTTTCATAATAATTACATAGACTTTAGCTCATCTTTTAAAGTATTATAAGTCATTTCTTATATAGTTTTGGTGTTTTGCAGGAAACCAGACTTGAAGATCCAAAAACATGAAAAAGATGACAAAAACCCATAGAAAGTCAGAAATTCGGCAGCTCTGCGACCGAAAAAAAGTGATGTGAGGATTGAAGACCCATCGCAGAATGAAGCGTATCATCACAATTTCTGGGAGCCAAGTATGCGATCAATTGTGCGGTCCCACAACTCTTATGCGGACCGCATAATGATCGCACAAAAGCAAAGGGAGTTCCAGCGAAGATGATTTTGCGGTGTGTTATGTGGTCGCAAAACCAATATGCGGACCGTATAACAAAAATGCTATGGAAAGCTGGAAAACTTTGTTATCAATTCTACGGCGAAAAGTGAAGATGCGCGGACCGCGAAAGTGTTCTGCGACCCATTCTGTTGTCATATACTTGATCTGCAAGGTTATTTTTGTCACCTTTTTACCATGATTTTTGGGCCATTATAAATAGAATGATTAGGGTTTTTGTGGACTTACTTGTCTGAAAAGAGGCTATACTTAGAGCATTCAATACACCATTATTTTGGAAGCTTTTGAGAGAGAATCCAAGAATTTATTCTCTTTGTAAGCTTTATGACTTTATTTATTAATTTGTTCTTGTATTCTAGTATGAGTAGCTAACTTTAAATACTAAGGTTGTGGACCCTAAGTGAGTGTAATGTTAATGGGTGTTTACCATTGAATATATATATAATGGTTGGTTGATTTCTATTTATTTCTCATGCTTCATTTATGGTTGATGGTTGCAAACATTGACTAGTGCCATTTTACTCTATCTTTACTTGAAAAAGTGGGTTAGGGTTTGGTAGAATTGAATAGCAAGAACCCAAGGCCTTAAACCTTGTTTAATAGAATCGCTTAGAGATAAGTGGGTTCTACTTGGCATAAATTAGTTGCTCTTAATTGTAACTTTTTTAAAATTGTGAAAATCATAAAGAGGAAATACTACCTGGTTATTGGAAAATATTGGGTAGTCATTTAGGAACTATTTGCATATCAAAGGACCTTCCAATAGAAATATATCATATTAACACTGATAGCATTACATTCCATTGATGTGGACACAACCTTGGTTTTTTAATTACATTAATCAAACACTCTTAACAAAATAGCTCTTCTTGACAATTCACAGTTACAAAACTCTTTTTAAACTAACGGAGTAGAACTACGGCTTAAGTCAAGTTTCATACTATTCAAGTAATCTATTCACATTTATTCCCTGTGGGATTCAACCCCAACCTAGTTGGGTTATTATATTTGACACCGACCGACTTACACCATTTATATAGGTGTTATTTGAGCGTATCAAATTTTGGCACGGTTGCCGGGGAATACGGTTTTGAAATTACTAACTAGTGTGTGCCTTACTTTACGTCTTCTTCTATTCCATCACACTTTGCTTGTTTTGCTTGGTGTCATTAGGTAAACATGGGCGAGCCGGAAGAAGACAATGTGTTTGCGGATATAGATGAGTATATTTAGGATACAAATGTCATTGTCCCTCCAAGATTTGATGATGCCACCTTCAAATTTGAACACAGTCTAATCCTAATGCTAAAAGCAAAGGGATTCTTCTGAAATTCCACCGATGATGATCCGACACAACATCTCAGAAATGTTTTGGGTGTGTGTGCAATGCACAAGCAGAATCATGTCTCAGATGATGTCCTAAGATTGAGGGTGCTCAAGTACTCTCTAACTGGAGAGGCAACATAGTGGATCCAAAATCTACTTCATAATTCCACCCATACTTGGACCGAACTTGTCCGAGCTTTCCTAGCAAAATGGTTTCAACAAAGCAAGAAGTCTGAGCTCCGAGATAAAATTTTCTTCTTTAAGAAATTACCGGGGGAGCATCTACATGAAGCATGGGATAGATTCAAGCTATATTTAGTGAGATCATCGAATCATGGCTTTCCAAATAATATTTTATTGGAGAATTACATGGGCTTGGATCCTATTAATCAATCCATAGCCAAAAATGCAGCAGATGGATCCTTTATGGATAAAACATTTGCAAGGGTCACATAAATCCTTGATAAGATGGCAGAACATAACCAATCTTGGCACTCGGAAATTATTAAGGAGAACCAAGAAAGAGATCAAGTAATTGCCGGGCTTGCCACCAATGTCAACGTGTTGACGAAAATGTTCACTGAAAGCCAATCAAAAAAGGCGAATGTTGTGGAAGATGTGTAACCCATGTCAAATGAGGAATACAAAGAAGCAAATTATGTCAACAATCCTCAAGGAGGATATCAAAGACAATCCTACTAAGGTTCAGGACAACAACACCAATGGAGCTCTAACCCACAAGGGCAAGGCAACCAACAGTGGTGAAACGACCAAGTTAGTTCAAATTAGGGAAATTGGAGTAACAACAACAACAACTTTTCAAATCGGAGTTCAATCCCCTATGTTCCACCAATGGGGCAATATTCTAACTCTCCACATTGGAAGGAAAGTTCTTCAAGTGAGTCCAACACTTTGATATGACCAAGCTTGTGGGTTCTCACACCGCATCTATTCAAAAGTTGGAAATGCAAATGAGGGATCTTTCAAGAGATCAAAATCCTATGCAAAAAGGAACGCTCCAAAGTGATACAATTTCAAACACAAAAGGTAGTGGGAGTGGTCCAACTTCTCATTGTATGGCAATCACAACTCGAAGTGGGAAACGACTTCAACGAGAGAATGAACAAGTGGTCGAAGTGGAAGATTCTGAAGAAGAAGTTGAGGTAGAAGTTGAGGTGCAATTGTTGTTGAAGTTGAAAGACTCCCGAAGAAGGTGAGAACTCAAGAAGTGAACCATGAAGAGGTGAAGGAAAAGGTAATAGAGGCACCAAAAACAATAGCACCAATTCCTAGACCTCCTCCTCCTTTCCCTCAAAGACTTGCTAGAAAGGTTGATGATAGCAAACTCGAGAAGTTCTATGACATCCTAAAGCAATTATCAGTAAACATTCCATTTGTGGAAGCATTTCAAGAGATGCCGGGTTTTGCTAAGTACTTGAAGGACTTGATCAATAAAAAGAAAATCACCCAGAATAAAGTGGTGAATGTGACTCACCAAGTTTGTTCCATCATTGCAACAACCGCCATCCAAAAGAAAGAGGACCCGGGAACCTTCACCATTCCATGCACTATTGGATTGCGTGATTTTGCACGAGCCCTTTGTGATAATGGGGCTAGCATCAACTTAATGCCCCTTGCTATTTACAAGAAAGTGGGATTAGGTATGCCTAGGCCTACAAGTATGAGGTTGCAAATGGCCGACCGTTCAATAAAGCGACCGGTGGGAATAGTTGATGTTGTGCTTGTGAAAGTGGGGAAGTTTCTCCTCCTTGCCGACTTTGATAGAGAGATCCCTATCATCTTAAGGATACCATTTCTTGCTACCGGGAGGGCACTCATGGACTCAGAATGAAATGAGATCAAGTTCCGAGTTAATGACGAAGCAGTTACCTTTCAAGCGAGTAAGGGTATGAAATTGCCACATGCAGACAAAAGTATCTCAGTCATTGATGTTGTTGATGAGGTAGAGGATGCAGTCGAGGTGAAGATGCAAGAGGAATTCCTTGATGAGGCATTGGCGGCTATTTTGGCAAATTTTGATGGTGAGGACATGGAAGGATACGTGGAATCGGTGAATGCATTGGAAGGGCTTGGGTCCTACACTTATGCACCAAAGAAGATTTCTCTTAACTTAGAGAATAAATTCACTCCTCCCGCTAAGCCTTCAATCATCGAGCCTCCACAACATGAGCTCAAGCCATTTCCGCCGCACTTAAGGTATAAATTTCTTGGCACTAACGAACCTCTACCTGTAATTGTTTCTTTGTTGACCCTAAAAATTGAGTAACAATTAAACTTATATTGTGGTTTTAAGGATATGTGATTTAAACCAGCACCAATTGATAAACAATGAATTAAATAGATAACTTGAATAATAAAATAAATCAAACTGGTCTGCAAGTGATGCTTCAACCTCGATTCGAAGTAGTCTCGAGGTTAATTAATAGGAACATTATAGGATAGAACAAACAACGATGAATAGTGATGAATAAAGAAAACAGTGTACAACGTATATGTATATTCTTATCAGTGAATAATGTGTGCTTACAAGTGAATGGGATCCCTCTTTATATAATAGAGGAATCCTAAATAAGGTACAACTCTAATAACGGAAGTAGAACCCATGATTGGCGTTAATAACCGCTTTGATTTGATCTGTTCCGGGATTTTCTCCCTGAATTTTAACCGGTCACTGATATCTCGCCATTCCGTTATTACGCCTCACTCGAAGTCAATCATGCTCGATCTCGATTACTACTAGCCTCGATCTCAATGGACACTTCGATCTCCAGGTGTGATGTTTTACCTTCGAGCTCGATCCCGATCTACTATAAGTTTACCCTCGAGGAAACTCCCCTGCCAACGAAATCGGGCATGCCCGATTTAGACGTATAAAACGAATTTGAGACTTCGATCAATTATGACGTCAACATCGTGGCGTAAGCGACATAAGCGATTGAATCCATTTAGAGAAGTGCCTGTGCTTCAACCCAGTTAGAGAAATAGCCAGTCATAAATAAAATGAACTTGGCTTTACTTGGGGTCGATGGCAGAGGACCGACGATATCCATCCCCCATTTCATGAATGGCCATAGGGATAGGACTGAATGAAGTTGTTCTCCGGGATGATGGATCATCGGTGCAAACCTTTTACATTTATCATATTTTCGAACAAACTCCTTAATGTTTTTTTCCATGCTATCCCAGTAGTATCATGCTCTAATGATTTTGTGAATCAGTGATTTAGCGCCGGAGTGGTTCCCACAATTGCCTTTGTGGACCTCTCGTAAAAAATAATCAGTGTCTCCTGGTCCTAAGCATACTGCCAATGGTCCATCGAATACCCTTCTGTATAATGTTCCATCTTCAGCCAATGTGAATCGAGCGGCTTTGGTTCGTAGGGCCCTCGACTCTTTAGGGTCCGATGGGAGCTTTCCGTTCTTTAAGTATTTAATATATTTATTCCTCCAATCCCGGGTTAAGCTTGTAGAGTTTATCTCGACATGACCTTCCTCGATCCCGAATCTCGAGAGTTGCACGACAGTCCCCGAACTGATCTCATCTTCCTCGACCGATGACCCTAAATTTGCAAGTGTATCGGCCTCACTGTTTTGTTCTCAAGGCACATGCTGTAAAGTCCATTCCTTGAAATGGTGCAAGGTTACCTGTAGTTTGTCCAAATATCTTTGCATTCTATCCTCTCAAACTTCGAAGGTTTTGTTTACTTGGTTCACCACCAGTAAAGAGTCACACTTGGCTTCAATGACTTCCGCTCCCAAGCTTTTAGCTAGCTCAAGACCTGCAATCATGGCCTCGTACTCAGCCTCATTGTTAGTCAACCTAAAATTTTTGATAGATTGCCTAATAGTGCTACCCGTGGGCGGCTTCAAAACGATGCCTAGCCCGGACCCCTTCACATTCAAAGCACCATCTGTGAAAAGGGTCCATACCCCTGATGATGTACCCGATTTTAACAAGAGTTCCTTTTCGACTTCAGGTACGAGGGTTGGCGCAAAATTGGCCACGAAGTCCACTAAAATTTGAGACTTGATGGCCGTCCGGTGTTGATATTCGATATCGTACCCATTGAGTTCGACGGCCCATTTGGCCAATTGGCCCAATAGTTCGGGCTTGTGCAAAATATTACGAAGTGGGTAAGTGGTCAATACGCATATGGGGTGACATTAAAAATATGGTCTTAACTTTCTAGAGGCGCTTATCAATGCAAGTGCCAATTTCTCCAAATGTGGATATCTAGTTTCTGCTTCTCCTAAGGTTCGACTTACATAATAAACGGGAAATTGCGTACCTTGCTCTTCTCGACCTAGGACACCACTTACCGAAATTTCCAATACTGCCAAGTACAAGTAAAGTTTCTCATCTGCCTTTGGAGTGTGAAGCAGTGGTGGGCTCGATAGGTACCGCTTCAATTCCTCTAATGCCTGTTGGTATTCCGGGGTCCAGGAGAAATTGTTACTTCTTTTTTAGCAAAGAGAAAAATCTGTGGCTTCGATCCGACGACCTCGAAACGAATCGGCCTAAGGTAGCTATCCGTCCAGTTAGCTTCTGCGCGGCTTTTACACTGTCCACGATGGTGATGGCTTCGATGGCCTTGATTTTATCGGGGTTGATATCGATCCCCCGATTCGATACCATGAAGCCAAGGAATTTGCCTGAACCGACCCCGAAAGTACATTTCTCGGGGTTGAGCTTCATGTTGTATTTCCTTAAGATCTCGAACATTTCCTGCAAATGAGCCAAATGGTCCTCTGCGCGCAAGGACATAACTAGCATGTCATCAATATAAATTTCCATTGATTTACCTATTTTTTCTTTGAATATTTTATTTACTAGGCGTTGGTAAGTAGCTCCTGCATTATTTAGCCCGAAAGGCATTACATTATAACAATATCTTCCATACTTGGTGATAAATGAATTTTTTTCTCGGTCCTCCGGGTTCATTTGGATTTGATTGTACCCAGAATAGGCATCGAGAAAAGAAAGGATCTCGACGCCGGCCGTGGCGTTAATCATGTGATCGATGTTAGGCAGTGGAAAAGAATCTTTGGGGCACGCCTTGTTTAAATCCTTATAATCTACACACATTCTAAGTTTGTTCTCTTTTTTAGTGACTACAACTACATTGGCTAACCATTCGGGATATTTCACTTCCCAAATGGACCCTATTTTGAGAAGTTTGGTTACCTCGTCCTTTATGGATGTGTGCTTTACCTCGGACTGGTGTCTTCTCTTTTGCTTCACCGGTTTGAACCTACGGTCAAGGCTTAGCCGATGCGGCATTATCTTCTGTAGGATCCCTGTCATGTCTAAATGGGACCAAGCAAAACAATCTATGTTATCAATAAGAAATTGAATAAGCTTTTTCCTGAGTTCGGGGGTTAACCCCGCTCCCAGATATAACTTTTGCTCGGGCAGGTACTCGATCAATATAACCTATTCTAGCTCTTCGACCGTTGATTTGGTGGCGTCAGAATCTTCGGGAACAATAAAAGTTTGAGGGGTCAGAAAATCCTCCTCTTCTTCTTCTATCTCCTACTTCCCTGACTCGGTCAAGGCTGGTGGTTGTGATTGCTATTTGACTTCCTGTTTACCTTTGATGCTCGACCTTTCCGAGGTTAATAGTGTCGATATCGGTGTTACTTCATCAACCGCAAACATTTCCTTTGCAGCATGCTGCTCCCCGTATATTGTTTTTACACCGGCCGATGTCAGGAATTTCGTCATTTGGTGTAGAGTCGAAGGGACTGACCTCATATTGTGGATCCAAGGCCTTCCAAGTAGGGCATTGTACCTTATGTCGCCTTAGATTACGTGGAACTTGGTATCTTGAATGGTTCCAGCCACGTTCACTGGTAGAATAATCTCCTCTTTAGTTGTTTCACTGGCCATATTGAAGATGTTTAAGACCCGAGCTGCGGGCACGATTTGATTTAGTAGGCCGAGCTGCCCCACAACCCTCGATCGGATGATATTCGCCGAGCTACCTGGATCCACTAAAACACGCTTAACTTGAACTTTATTTAATAAGATATAAATTACTAGAGCATCGTTGTAAGGCTGAGAAATGCCTTCTGCTTCTTCTTCATTGAATGATAAAGCACCTTCGGGCATATAATCTCGGGTTCGTGTTTCCCTAGTGATTGATACCTTAGTGCATTTGAATATTTGTCCCTGTGGGATGTCGACCCCACCAACGATCATATGAATGACATGTTGGGGTTCCTCCTGTTCATTTTTCCTATTGGCATCCCTTTCTCTGAAATGATTCTTGGCTCCATCGCTGAGGAATTCTCGAAGGTGGCCCTCATGGAATAGATGGGCTACCTCCTCCCTTAATTGCCTGCAATCCTCAGTCTTGTGACCATGCGTGCCATGATACGTGCACATAAAATTTGGGTTTCTTTGGGAAGGATCGGTTTGTATGGGTCTGGGCCACCTAGTATCTTTGATCCTTCCGATTGCCGATACAATGCCCGATGCATCGATGCTAAAGTTATATTCCGATAACCGAGGTGCCTCTGTGAGATCGACATACTTGTCAAAACCACTCATGCTCATAAGTCCCCAAGAATTCTGTCTTCGATCACTTCTTCGATCGTTCCGGGCAAAATTGCATCCTGAACCAGTGTTCCTTCGATCTGCGGTATATGGTTGATACCGGTCTCTGTTCGATCTTGGCTCCCTGTCAACGTCCCTTTTGGTTTTTAACTGCCGACCTGTTTGGATGCATTGAACCGGAAGGGGCTCCTAATTGGTCGTCCTCAACCCTGAACTTCGATTAATATCGATTATGCACATCTGCCCAAGTTACAGCTGGATACTCGATCAAAT